TAGTTAAGGCTTGATGGTTAATTCAAAGCTGTTGGTTATACAGATTATGCTAACCATGTAATTGGAATGTAAAACTTAGGACAAAGATTGCATTTCTTAAAAGAAAATTCCACACTTTGAAAATACTTGAGTTAGGCTTCAGAGCAAAATTGGTTGATTCGAAGTTTTTGTGAACACAGTAAGGAGTAAGGTCACATCAACCATACAATCAAGCATACAATTAGAACATAAAACCAGATCATGCCAAATAGGAGAAGAAAACCCCTAGTTTTATTGATATATACATAATTACATTAGAAAAGCCAACTTGTCTACGAATTTGATTTCATAATAATAGGGAATAGAAAAAGTAACAAGTTCATTAAATTTAACACAACAATGTTCAATGAACTTATGTTCTTTCTTTATTGTATTTTTTGTCCTATCAAAGCTAGGTTGTTACAGCTGGTATGCTCTTATTTGGTGAAAAAGTTGTTCAGCTTTCACCTCAAACTCTGTCTTCTTCAAGCCTTGCTCTATTTTGTCCATATTTAAATCATCCCAGTACGCTGAATCCTTATTCTTGAAGTCATCATATTCTTCAATAAAGTTCTCTGCTTCGTATTAAGTCTGAATTCGATTGGCTGTGATTTCGTCCAAAAAGTTACTGGTAGCCAAAGAAATTTTGTACCAATGAAGGAGTGTAAGTTGATCCGAAAAAGCTTGAAGCTCTGCCTGGGCAATGGGGTTGAGAACATGACCCCGAGTCATAATATTACAGGTCCATTGGAAGTTCTTTAGAGGAATTTCGTCTCCAAGAACATTGAAAGGCAAGTGAGAGAAGGCAACAAGTAGAAGCTGAGTTTTGTATTGCTCAAATGCAGCTGGAAGAGCTGGAGGTTGGTAGGAAGGAAAAAAATGATTCTCGAAAAGAGTAAGTTTCAATTCCTCCATCCAATGAGGATTCTGAGGGAGAGGAGGTGCAGAGCGATCCATCTCGAAGGAAGAGGGAAACTGGGGGTCATTCACGCATTCGAGCCAGTCAGAAGAGCAAAGTTTTGCCTTCTTAGCCAAGAATGACGGATTATATCCCTGTGCTTCGTTTGGATGAGAAGTTTCTCGCACTATCTTTGCTGGCATGGAAGATGTGTACCACGCCACAAGCAAATTGTCCTCCATACTTCATTGGTGATCAATGGGTACATAATGGTAAACCACTGAGCTCTGAGCAGAATGCGGAATAGAAAGGGGATCATCGAATTCAACAAATCAATTATGAATTTGCTTCCTTAATTGGGGTTCTTCAAGTTTTGACCAACTATCCCAACAAGTGAACTTGGAGGAAGAAGAAGCGGCTTTGTCCCATATGAAGAGTGATGGGGCAGAAGAGGAGCTTCCAAAATCCATTTCTACAAATGTTTGGTCCAAAGGTTTGTAGTTGGCAGACTTGTATAAATGGAGTGGATAAGTGTAGCCAAGAAATGCGTTAAGGTTCTTTCAAGGCCTGTAATCATCTTCTAAAGACTCCTCGTATGCTCAATCAATGAAAGCAAATGTGTGACTAGCCATTTGGGATGTACCAGTCTTTTCATCTACTCAAAGAATGGAAGTGCAAAGCATAAGGATTTAATCAAGTTCACTGCTTCATTGTTCAAAAAACAGTTATACTTCCAGAATATACAGAGTCCATGCATGTCTTAGAACGTGGGTAAATTGCACTAGTCCACTAATATCACTAAGTATTGGGTATATTAGTGCAGGGGATAATGTTGGCTGTATAATTTGTAAAAGCCAATTGCAGAGTGACACGTGGCACCTAAAGGGCAATTTGGGAAATTAATGCAAGCCTTCAATCAAAGACAGACATGTAGCAGTTCATATTAGTAGTATCAGATTTGCGTGGCATCTGATATCAAAATCATTCCAACTTAGGCAATGTGACCGCTATACAATGGGCAATCATGCAGATATAACAAATAAGCACATAGCCTCATGGTAGCATGCTAGACATAATAAGAAGCAATCACAAGCAGAATGCAAAGATGAAAGAGGTTCACCTAATACTTCTTCGCACCATGCCAAGAGCGTAAAGGGTAAGAAAATAATGCGGGATCCTAGATGCTAAACTAAATGATATGCAAAGAAAATGGTAGGGATGCTCACCGAGTACTCCAACCAAGCAAAAAATAGAAAATAATCTTAAATAAAAAAAATGTATGATTTTGGATGCGATATCTAATGCAAAATTCGCACATAATGAATCCTAAGGGCCGTTGGACACTATCAAGATGACATGGATATCAACAAAGCACATAACACATAATTTAATCTGAAGATAATGGTCCAAGACCAAATGTATGCTCCTACACTAATCATGAGAATATGATGATAGTAAAAACAAGTCTAAGCTATCAAAGAGTAAAAAGAGTAGAGAGTAAGGGTAAAGAGAAGAGAGATCCGTCTCAACGGATGCAACAATATAATGAATGGAAACTAAGAAAATGACGAGACAAGAGCAAAAGAAGCTTTAATGAGGATTGAGAGATTATCTCCCTCTTACACATGAAAATGAGTATAAACTACTCAAATCCATAAGAAATGGTGATGAGAGGGGTGATCCAAAGAGTGTAGAAAGTTGCCCAAAAATTCTCAGCAAACTCTTTTTTTTAGGGTTTTTGATTAAGTATAGAGGAATTGTTTAGTGAGGACTAGGAATAGTGATTCAAAATTTTGGAACCCTTTCCCTCAAGAGGGAGGGTGATTTTATAGGTATTTAGGGCTTGGAATATGCCTTTAGATCCCATGGATCCGAATGGCATATTCTAAGATCCTTTGGATACCTCACAAGAAAGCTGTTTGGCTGACACCAAAACAGAATACGATGGATAAGACTTGTTCAACTGGTACAAAGTAACCCGGCATATCTCATCAAAAATTTTCTTGAAGGAGCTAGAAAAGACTTGGAGATGTGTCCACAGATCAAAGTTGTTCGGCGCATTGCTTGAAAAATGTTCGGTAGGATAAAAAAAGATCCGAGCACCTATCCATAGGCCAAAACGGTTCGGTGTGTTGTGGAAAAGATGTATGACTGAGCCAAGCTTATCTGGTTGGTTTTCTTGAAAGTTTTCCCTATTTTCTCTTTTGTTTTGACTTACTAAGCTAACTCTTTCGAAAAGTGAAATTTTTAGAAAAACACACTGCTTGGAATTGCCAAAATGAATGAAAATGTACCAATTGCCTTAAAATATATTTGAAAATAGGTTTTAGTGTCCAAAAAACATTTTGGCCAAAATGAGTATAGGGCGGATTTGTCTTGGAGCGACCTTTTGTATCTCGAGAGCTTTGGATAGAGCGTCCAAATTTTAAAAGCGGTCAAAAATAGAGTATCTATAACTACTCATTATTTCATCAGTTTATTATATAGCTAGGGCATCTTGTCTACTAGAACCACTTTCTTCGTTTTATTTCAAAACTTGTTTTACATTAATATATTTTTGTTTTTATAATAAAATAAAAAATTAAAAAATGGCATCCAATTGAAATTTTGATGGGGAGATGTACGATTGGCTTGAGAAGCCTAGCCAAAATTAAAAATAAATAAATAAATAAAAATTGTCGTGTAATGGAATTGACTGATTGTGTGCTGTCAATTACTTGTAAGATTTAATAGATAAACTAATGTAATTTACAAGCATTTCTTTAAAATGAAATGCACAATGCCTTGAATTAATTTGTAACATGCTAAAGAGAAGAACAATCCATAGCAACTGCATCAATCTCTTGTAACTGCAATGCCCGCTCCAAATTACTCAAAACATCACTCATTTCACTGCTGGAAATTAGACTTTTAATGACGTTTAAAAAACGCCGCTATATCTATCAAAAATGCTGCTAATTCCTTTTATGGCATTTAGTGCTAAACGTCGAAGATGCGGCCGTCACTGTAGCTTTGTGACATTTTAAAAACGCCGTGATATTAGTATAGGAGGCGTTTTAAAAAACGCCGCCAAATGTCCTACAATACACGCGCTGACGTCACCAACGATATTTAGCGACGTTTTGAAAACGCCGTCTTATCTGTTTATAAAAATATGACAGTTAGTTTTTAAGGTTTAGGAGGCGTTTGTTGAAACGCCGTCATATCCCCCCCCCCCCCCCTTTTTTGATGCTAATTTTATTTGATTGAATAAAAAAAAACCTGTAATAAAACTAACATAAAAAATATTAACTCCCATTCAAATACCTGTAATAAAACTAACATATAAAATAATAACTCCCATTTAAATAACAAATGAAGTATTAATTCAGTTTCTTATTCAATTAATATCCAATCACCATTACCCACAAAATAACATATCCAAAATTCAAAAATCATGTTTTAACATTAACCACAAACTAACATATATCCAAAAATCATGTTTTAGCATAAAAGTTGTAGTCATCACTGGTCTACATGTCTGCATCAGAATATAAACTGCAATCAGATTCACCAAAATAAACATAAATTGAAGAATTTGTACCCAATACTTATAAGCAGTACTTAAAACTTGAAGAAGCACTAACAAGAAGATTTTATCACATACCAAGAAGCACTATGGCTATGCCTCAAGGATGAAGATTTTGATCATTAGAAAATTATACTGTCCTACTTGATACTTCTTTCTGCTAATTATGTCAGATAAATGAAATACCAGCAATCATAAAACCAGTAAAATATCTAGCTTTTTAGCACCTAAATAAATAGAAATGCATGCCCACATTATATCTTATATTACATAATACACAGTGTTCCATGCATATGGACATTGAAGACAATAACTGACAAAGAAAACCTACGCAGGGAAGCTCCAAGAAACTGACACCAGTAAAACCATAAACTTTTTAACTGAAGTAGTTATCTCAAAATGTACCACTGTTTATTCCAATAGTCAATTAACAGAAGCAGCTACAAAAATAAACAATACTCCATAAAATGAATATGTGACTTGATAATTTCAACTACCAAAATAGAGTACAAAATTTGACAATTTAACAATATACTCCTAAGAAAGGGGTGAAGAATTACAAGAACTAGTTTAAAGTTCACTTAATTTTCTTGATCAGAATAGCAGTGCTTTGATGAACTTAAACCACAGGTAGAATCATACAATATGCAACTTTACAAAAGAAAAGACGAGGAAAACCCTCGCTAAAAGATAATATTTAGTGATTCCAACCAAATGATTTTGCTTGTTAAGTTGTTATACGTACAGACATAGGGAAGCCTCCCAATGACGAGTTCAAGTATTTTAAGAACATACCATCAAGACAAACAGAAGTCTTCACACAACCCATATCTCCACTCAACATGGAGATTCATGAAAGCAACCTCTACATTAGAGGATAAACCCAAAAAGAGCTCAAAACAACACCTGGAACAACTTCCAACATTAGATCCAAACTCAAAAAATTAAATAAATAAAAAACCATAGGAAAAGCAATAAATAAAACAAAGGAGACTACTAACTCTTGAAGACAAATGAGTATAGCATGATTCAGTCTGTTTAGAGCCAGAGCATCATGGTCCAGATAGATAACAAAAAATATCTCGACGGTATTCCTCTTACAAAGTAGCATACTAGAAATAAGCTTTACGTATAGGAAATAAACTTTGATGACAACCACATTTTGCCCATAAACGAAGAAGATGTGAAGTCAGCTGCTGCTTATGTGCTTTTCTATAGGAGAGTGAAAACAGATTTGGATGCAAGTGAGTTATTCGAGGGCTTCTTCAGGGTTGGCAAATTTTGGTCCGACTTTGAACTAGTATAATTTAAAAAATAGATTTGGATGCAAATCAGCACTCAGAAATATATATTATTGATTTGATATTGTTTGTTTCTCTACATGTTAATCACTTCTAAGGAGTACTCCATCAATGACAAAACCAGTACTTCACATCTCTCTTTTCTATATGTTATCTATTCTTTTATTTGTTGAATTGACTCACTATTAAACATTAAGCAAACATCATGTCTTAATAGATTCAGAAAAGTGAGAGATTAAAAACTAGTGATGTTAGTACTTTTACCTTGTTAGTTCTTCTTCTTCTTCTTCTTCTTCTTCTTCTTCTCTTTCTTTGAAAGGAGAACCTATATTTAATAAGAACAAGTATTGTAATTAATAAGATATGGTAATTGTCAAAAAAAGCTTTGATTAAATGATTGCTCACCTCTTGGGATGAAAATCCATGAGATTGTTGCTGATGTGACATTGGCCGAACAGTGGGATGACTACTAAGTGAATCCACAACCTATCATTCAATGAGAGGCTTAAGTTGTATAGTAGCTCTGGGCAATTTAAAGTAATAACTAGTAAAAATAATTACAATACCTGCTGCCTATGTAATGGGTTCGAAGGTGCAACAACTGGTGCAACGGGCATGCCGGCAGCTTGCAATTGAGATTCCAAAATCTCAATTCGTGACTGAAAATCTGCGCGTATAGCCTGAATTTGTTTCTCCATTACATCATTCATCTTCGACTCTAATTGCATTTGATACTGTTGAAGTTGCTCTTCAACTTGTTCTTGAACTCAAGTTTGGAAGATATTATTCTGCTCTTGTGACTGCCTATATCTACCTCCAAAAACATCAGTGGGGGATGGTCCCAATCCAAACGTCTGAACACGACCAGGTCGCTCCGGCCCCATAACTTGTGTGAAAGTCTGTTCATCTAATGCAACAAGGTCCGAAGAAGATCCCTCCATGTGCTCCGTCCGCTCATTCATTTGAGTTTGCAATTTTGAATTCAATAATTAGCATCCAATATAAATCATATTAAAAGTCCAATAAAGTAGAACCATAACTTCATTAACTAAATCACTATTGGAAGTACCATCTTTCATGTATGCGGCCATCCACACCTGTGGCTGACTAGCAGGAACCCCATTGTTCTTTTTTGTCTCCTGTAAATAAAAGATAGATAAAACAAAACATTAGAGTATCGTATTTCCAATTTCTCATTTGCATCACCATTGCCACAGTTGTTCTAGCCACCACAACTACCACCACCACCACCACCCTTTTACCTCCAATACACCACCCCTCCATCATCACCACAAACCATTATCCCTCTACCCCCACCTCAATCACCCCAATACAAAAATGAGAAGATGAATTTTAAAGATAACAAGTTTCAATTTTCAATCTTATACATATTAAACTTGATTTAGTTTAGTTATAAGTTAAGCTAGCTAAGTTATAAGTTTAACTTAAAAACTTAACAAATTTCAAAATATGTTCAAGATGTAATGTCTAATTATACCTCCACTCGAACTACTAAGAAAGGCTTTCGACCTGTTCTATGATGTAGTGTCTTCTTCTTCCAAATTTTTCTATTCTTCTTGCTTGATTTCTGTTAAATATAAAATTCATTTGAGATATTATCAAAAATTATCATATATAAACATTTTTTCACATAAATAAAATTGTACCGATGCACTCTGAGTGCCCCAATAGTAGACCAAGGCCCGCCACTGATCCTCATGTACTCTATCCGGTCGATGAGCCAACCTTTCTGCATCATTCTTGAAGGGTGTGTATCCTATATTTTTCACTCGACTTTTCCAATCTCTCAATTTCTTTCCAAATGAAGTCATTATTGTTCTCTTCATGGAATCATCTGCATTCGTATGAGCCTGCATTACAATTATGCACACTTGTAATATGCAATGTCAACTACACTTGTAATATGCATTTCATATAGAATCCAATTGTAATATGCATTTCAACTTATGTCATATTAAATATCTGTATTACCTTTATCTCCCTCCATATGTTATCTTTATTTTGTTGTGGGACATAAAGCCAAGTCGTAAAAGTGAGTGGTGCAAGACTCCTATCTCATGCCAAAACGCCCAAATGTGAAGCAAGGGTTGTGTATCCTTCAACTACTTGACTCAACTCATTTGAAACAAGTTTTAAAACACCATCGTCTGAAGTACCCCATTGACCATGCACATATGTGAGACCCCTTGTCTAGTTTTGTATGGCTTGACTTGAGCTAGAACCTATAAAAAAAACAAAAATGAGGCCAAAACAATTGAATGCTCAGTTGAATGCTCTGTGTTTGTAGGATTACTATTTTTCACTCGATGAGTGTGTGCACATTGTACTTGTGTTTTGTTTATTGTTCAATGATTGCAAAAGCTATAAGTAAAAGGGGTAGGCAAGTATACAAGAAAATTCAATCCATATAGCTTTTGCAAAGCTAACTGAGGGAAGGAGAGAGAGGAAGAAGGCCTATACTTTCCAGTCTCAAGCAAAGCTAATTCCTGCTCCTTTTCCACAACTAACTGATTTGGAAAGTTTAAGCCTTCATATAGTGAAGGTGCTTCTTTGGTTAGTAGCTAGCAGCTGGGAGAGCACTAATAATCTCTTCCAGACTATGAGGCCTCACAATGCTTGAAACCCGGACGTTTGCTGTGTAAACAAATGCAGTGAGACATGAAGCCGCTGTTGTATTTGTTATCTTTCTAATACAGCCCTTGGCAAAGGCTAGTTGCCCAAGAATAGGTAGGCTACTGCAGGGACATTAGTTCCCTCCTTGAAACCACTTCTAGAGGTTTTGGGTTTTAGTTATTTATAATGAAGCAATGCTGTCAATTTTCCCTAAGTTCCCAGACTTATCATATTTAGCAAAGTGAGTAAAACTTTGATGTGATCCATAATTTTCATTTGGGAGGGCACCTTTATTTGGAAATAAAAATCCTTCTAAAGCCCATGTTGAACTCTCATGAGGTTAGAAATTGAGAATCAATACACAAGATAACAGAAGACGAGAACCATTATAGATTGCTCAACAAACTTCTTTCATCAACACAGCAGAAATCAATCAAATAGTTTGTATCAGCAAGAGAATTTGTTTCAATCAGATTAATTATGTTTCTGCTCGTGACAATGAGACCTTGTTTGACATTGTGAGTTTGAAGGTATAGTCTATTGTAGCTATGGATTGGATTTTCTTTCATAATTGAATGTCTAATTGGATATAATTCTCATTTGTAATTTATCTTTTGATTAGACTGAAAACAAAAACCAAAACAAAAAGGAATATTATTTTTAAACAAACGATAAGAGGGGAAAGTGCATTACATGACTCGAATTTGGGCATCATGCTTAATAAGAGAGAACAGTAATGCTAAATGCATACAATTATAACACAAAAAGAGCACAAAAAATACGTTGTATGTATTTGGTGAACGGTCTTAGGTAGTAGAAATAAGAGAGTACAGTAATGCTAAATGCATACAATTATATTGTCAAATTAATGGCCCACCATTACAGAAATTATGGTGAATGGTCTTAGGTAGTACAAATTGATTAACCTTCATATTTAATAATTTCAATACTGTGTTTTCAACTGTTTCACTAACCCAATCAACCAATCAAGCCAATCACTGTATTTTGAAGCTGTCGATGTCTATTTTTTTATGCAAAGACAAGACAATACAATTAGGATAAGCTGGAACAGTAATATTAGCATAAAGTTAGTTCAGTAAAATCTGAAAATAGTTATACGTACCAGCTAAAACTGAGCCATGTGATGTACTACCACTACGTGATGTGGTAGGAAGACTGCCTGGTGGATGCCATGATGCCGGTGGATCGGGTATCACAATCACAACCACAATCACAATCATATTAGTTAACGAATCACAATCACAATCACAATCACAATCACAATCACAATCATAGCTATCCACATTAATAACTATGAAGAACACTTGCTTGAATTGAAGACGAAACTTCACCATATAATACTACAAATCAAGACAAAGTTACATACAGGACAATTCTTTCACATGCTAGCTAGATGATTATTTATTTATTTATTTATTTATTTTGGGTCAAATAACCCTCCAAATGAAGTTAATTGTGTCCTACACTCTCTCAAATTATATTTTATACATAATTATATATATTTTTGGAAGAAATGGTTTCCAACTGTGTTTTTTTTAAAATGAATTTCTTAGCTTTCAGAGTTTCTGCTGTACCAGTCCAAGTCCTTCACCAGTGAATTCTCATGACAAAAATATTTATTTCTCTCTCTATCACTCATCACTATCATGTCTCTTAAACCTCTCTAGATGAAATGACTACTACATTGTCTTTAGTGTGTTTAAAACTATAATTAATATCACTCCTACCAATTAATGCCTTGGCATTGAGCTATTCATTAAGTGATTGTTTCCTCTACTCTGGCTCCTCAGATGGGCTCATAAACTTTTGGGAGAAGGAGAAGACATCCGGTAGATTCAACCATGGAGGATTTTTACAAGGTCAGCATTTCTCTGTTCTTTGCTTAGTAGCCATAGAAGACTTGGTCCTCAGTGGTTCTGGGGATGCAATTATAAGGGTATGGAGGAGAGAGGAAGGGAATACATTCCATTCATGTCTTGCAATTATAGATGGCCATCATGGGCCAGTGAGGTGCTTAGCAGCTTCTTTGGAAACAGAGGAAACTGTAATGGGGTTGTTAGTGTATAGCAGCTTCATTATACATGTTCATGTGGTTTTTAGATTGACTTTAAATTTAAATGCCATAATATTACATATAGATTTGGTAGTGGTCAAGAAGAAGTGGAAAATAACTTATAAAGAATAAGTGGATACTGATAGCATCCTGCTTCTTCGTTGATGGAAAAACGATTTTAACTCCCTTCTGCTCTTCCATTTTTTTCCATATAGATCCCTAGAGAGAGGAATTCAAGAAAGTTAATGTCAAGAGAGTCTGTGTGTGTGTATGCATGTACTCATTAAATTTTAATCTCGTCGAGATTTCATGATTAAAGTTCTACCTTTTTCTTTCGATGAAATGCATTAAGGAATTTCCTATCGGCATAGCAACACGCACACAGATAGTCAAACCATCAAAAAGAAGAAGAAGAAAAAATAACAAGAAGAACAACAAGAAGGATTGAAATTGAAGCGCTGCACATTCAACAGATATTCAGTGCAAAGTAAGAAAAGTAAAACCTATTTAAGATTCTGTTGCTAAGAATGATGATGTTGATGGCATGCTGGGTTATTGGGCCATTGATGGAGTAGAGATCCATGAAACAATATCAGCCAAACAAAATGGAAACAAGCAATCTGTAGGTTGAAACATTTTTTTTTTTTTAATGAATGAGATATAAGACTTTTTTCTTTTTGTTTTTGTTATGAAGAAGGAAACTATAAAGAGAGAAAAAACCAATGAACCGAAGTTATTATATTACTAGTTAGAAAATGTTGAGAGATCTATTTTCTAAGATAAGCCAATGCTACATTCTGCTATCCTAGCTGTTGGTAAGTCACTAAAATTTATCTCAGAACTGCATCCTTAAGAATACAAGAGGAAAGCATGCATTACCTCTTAAATGCAAAGATGAGTACTTGCAAGGTTAGATTCAAAGTCTGCCACTCAAGTAGAAGCTGGTGTTGGTCCTCTTGCAATTTACAGATTGCCTGAGGATAAAATGAAAGTACCTATAGTTAATGCAAAAAATAAATAATAAAATAGTTTGGCTAAATGCTATTTTTACCTCAAGCTAATACTTCAGAGAAAATGCTAGTTTAATTCGAGCCTGTCCTGGAGTTAGTGCAGCTATACCTGAGGAAACCAAGGAACTAACTTAAATAGGTCCACATATGCTGGTTGAGAATGTTTCTAGTTCTCAGCCTAGCTCTATCACTACTCTTGTGATTCAATATGTTATTGTTGCAAAGCTTTGAATCTTATATCATTGAAGTCTGATGATGCAATCAATGTTTGACAGATGATTCCAATCACAAACAAAAGGGATTCATATATATGACATATAGCATTAAACATATGCAAAAGAATGTGAGTTGGAAATTTGCCAACAGAGAATAATATCATCAAAATTGAATTGACTAATACAAAAATAGAATTAATATCTCATTCTCCATAGTTTCTTCTTCTAAAAACAGTAATGAAATAACTAGTGCCTGATGCCAATACAGTAATTCTTCATTTTTCCCAAAGACCACAAATAGAGCGAGACAGAGAGAGAGAGAGTACCGATTACAGTTCAGAAACAAAGTAGACTGTTCAATGGAGCATGAAATGCGAGTAATCGAGGGGTCAAAGTTCAGATCTGAATCTTCAAAATAGCTTCAATAGAGCTTCGAAATCGCAGGCGATGGAGCTTCGAAATCGCGTCGATGGAGCTTCGATCTGAATCTTCGATGAAGCTTAGATATGAAACTTCGATGGAGCTTCGATCTGAATCTTCGATGGAGCTTAGAGAGGGTTGAGAGAGAGAGAGAGAGAGAGAGAGAGATCTGTGCGTATGTATTAAGGGTTGAGAGAGAAAGAGAGAGAGAGAAAGAGAGAGATCTGTGCATATGTATTAAGGCTCTGATTCAAAATAAGGTTTCACAAAAAGGGGCGCGTGTGGCTTACCGCATTTGGAGGTGTTTTTAAACCCCTCCCATTATAAAATGGTGTCGTTTTGTTTAATAGAATATGCGGCATTTATAAAACATCGTTAAATACTAATAACAGTGACTTTTAAAAAAACGTCGTTAAAAAAACGCCACCAAATCCCCCTTTTCTTGTAGTGACATGTAAATGGTTATGTACATCCCAAGAAAATCAATGGCAAGTATTTGAAGCCTTATTATCCAACTGTGTGGAAAACACAAGGAGCGTGAGAAATGCTAAACAAAAGAAGCATGAAAACACTCAAACAATAAATAAGGATTTCATTTCATAAATAAGGATTTCATTTCATAAAGAGGTAAGTACATGCAGCCATAGATTGGCCTAAAAATTAGTACAATGCTTCAATTGTTCCCTTATAATTGATTCTCTACTCCTAAGGGATAGAAACAACTGAATGGCTATAGCCATGTCTTGCCTATGGTCAGCTAGCCTTTGATTGGTAATTTGCAGCTCTATAGGAGTTTGATCCAAGGCTAGATTAACTACTGCTAACTCCTCTTCTAATTGGACCTTTTTCTCTAAGAGTTAGATTCGGAACTAAAAAGCAGAGGAATGTTGTCCATTCAATTCAGATATCTCAGTATGTATATGGGAAACAAATTTCTTGGCTTTCAATAGCTTCTCTTCTGCAGCTTTAGCAATGTGGCAGATGTTGACATAGAAATCTATGGTAGCTGCTGCTTAGGATAAGTGGCTTGAAATAGCCATATTGGATTGCTCGATGACTTTGCAGCATTGGAGGAAACCATTCTTAAGTATGAGTCTTTGTAAGGCTTCGAATGGGATCCTTGAAAATAATGTCAACAATTCTAAATAGGTGCCTTAATCCAATTGAGGCAATAAAACTCTGTTGATGGTTGAAGAGCTTTCAAAAATTTCAAAGAGGGAGTCAGTAAGGGCCAATGGCTCATATTCACTGCTGGCTGTTGGAGTGGTTGAAAGGGTGTCAAAAAGGCTAGCCAACCGAGTTTCAAAAATGTCCACCTCTTCCATTGACATTCAAGGTGCAGAAAGGTCTGGAAGAGATGGCTGCATAGGGATAGGAGAAGGGGTTAAAGTGTCCCCGGCAGTGTTTATAGTCCTAGCCACTAGCAAATCAAGGTTAGAGGGATTGGAGTTGAATGGTGGTGGTGGACAAGAAATTGGTAAGCTACTAGTATCTTCCCTGGGAACACCAGCTATCACTAATGAGGTGACAACTACGGCCTTCTCATGTGATGAAGGACCAGCTAGGACATTAGGGGAAGTAAATTGGGCTGAGGAAAAGGTTAGATGAGCAAGATATGGAGTTAAGCCCAGGCATAAAAAAATAAGCATGTCTTGCCTCAAAAAAGGTATGAAAAGTGTAGAGTTGGGAAGTGGAAGTACTATCTAGAGGGGCTCTACACTTAAGAGCACTTCAGTGTTGATTTTCTTCCTCCTTTTCGAGGCTGCCTCTAATGGCCTTTCAACTTCAGATAAGATAAAAGAAGCCATTGTCAAAGGAGAAGGATGTGGAGTAACTGTTGCTATAAGACAGAAAATAAGAAGCAATGGTAAGTTTTATTCCTGAAAACTTGGAAAAGGAAATTAGTAGAGAAACTAAAGGAAATTACCAACCTTAGAAGTGGTGGTGTTAATGGTTAGAAAACTGTGAAGAGCATAATGTTCGGCAGTTTGTTGCCTCCTTGCAGCTTTCCTTTGAAGTGTATCAGTACCAGCAGCTTCATTCCTTAATAGCTGCTACTGTCTCATTTTCTCAGATCTCTGGAAAATCACCAATTCCTTGGATTTCTCCCTCTCTTCTGCCTTGGCGGCTGCCTGATGAGTAGGGTCATCAATGAAATCAGAGGGGGAGACTGTTATTTTCTTCCTCATCTTAAGCGGTGTTTCTTGTTCCTCTTCTGTAGGAACTTCAAGTACCTTCTTTTCTTCAAGATCAAGTACAAATTTCCTGTTCTTCTATTGTTGTTGTCACTTGTCTTTAAGAATGCTTAGGGCTTAAGGCTTAAGCCCTCTAAGGAGAATCTACTTGTAAAGCTCCTGCATAAAAAAGAAGCTATAAGTAGATGAGCAAGGCATTATAAAGAGAAGAGAAAGGAAGGATGGAAGTGCATGCCTCTCTTCGAAGTAGCCCGGGTGACTCTAAGAGGAGGATGAGAGGCAGCAGGAGCAGTCTCTATGACAGCAGGAGTAGGAGCTGGGATAGCAGGAGTAGTAGAAGGAGTGATGAGCCCAGTTCCTTTAGGCTTGGCCTGAGAAGGCAAGTCTAGTCCCATTAATAGATCCTGAGGGGAAATGGCCAAGTACACCTCCATATTTGCTGCCCACCAGTTCCGGTACCTCTTCAGTGCAATGTCTTGTGGGATGAAGGGAGTGAATTGAAATTCGATCAAGTCTTGAATAAATTTGGAGGTTGCCTCCTCCAGCCTGGTTCTTTGCACTCTCAACTCTCTAGTGGCAAGGTCGGGGTTAGTTTGGTTGCAGAGAAAGATAGGGATCCCCGAGTAAGCCCAAATTGCCTAGCAAATTGAGCAGGGTAGTAGGCTTCAGCTATGCATTTGTAAGCTCGAGGGTGTAAAGTACCAATAACGAGCTTCCTTGGAGTTAAGATAGAAGCCCACATGTCCTTGTGTTAAGGTTAGGTACAATTTCTGTCAACCAAGAAAGTCCTCAACCAGGCTGGGCCAACATTAGCTTCGAATGGACAAAAGAAGGTTTGAGAAGGAGGGGAAGCTGAGAGTTAGCAGAAGAAAATAAAGTATAAGCAAAAGTAGAAGGGTAAAGTAAAACTCTGGCATATTTTACTCCATAAGAAGTAGGGTTTAATACCAAAAATCACAGGCACCTAGAGTGTAAAGCAGTGAAATAAGCAAAGAGCCAAAGTTGCAATATCCAGAGTGGCCCCCCTTGGTTGGCATCCAAAGGTTTTTAACAAAATTAGGAGTAGACTCTATACACATGGCCTAAAATGTATGGAGTTGAGGCTATTTTCTTTCCCAAAACAAGGGCCTTAGCAAGAGGAGCAAACTCAAGCATAATCCTCTCTGAAGATATATAGAACAAAAATTTGCAAAGCCAATATAGAAGAGAAGAGAAAAACTCTCTGTCTGACACGAGATCCTCCCTTGGGTTTTCAGAATGTGCAAATCACTAAAGAAGGAATTCAAATGAGGGATGGAAAAAGGCACATTAAGGTTAGGATAATCAGGACCAAAAGGAGTGCCAATGGGGGATAACCCTAAGAGATGGCATTCATCAAGAATGGAAAGGTCCATTAAGCCACATCGAAATTGGAAAAAATTGAAAGATGGATTTCAAAAACAGAGTGTAGTAAGTATGAGAAAAGGGTTTTCAGGGATAGATAACCTGGCTAGTCAAATGG